CTGTTGACTGTTGCTGCTTCCTGCTCTTGCTGTGAAGTTGTTCCAAACTGTCAAAACGTAGTTGCTGCTGTCTGGTTCTTGTTGTAGTTGCTGCTGTTGCAATTCTGTTATTGTTGTGAAACTGTACCAAACGAGCTGTGAGATGTGAGTTCCTCCTCGTGGACAGCAATGAAAATACTCAACAATTATGATAACCAATTGTGAATTTGCTGCTGTTTCAAACCATAAACAGTCCCACCAACAGCTACTGCTAGTTGCTGTTTCAGATTTTAAACACAACAACAAAACAAAAAAATTCAGACTTGCTGCTGTTAATAGAAGCTCTCAAATTCGTGAAGAAACAATAAGAACAAACAGCTGATGTAAATGAATATCAAACCAAAAACAACACTGCACACAGTTGATGATGCTTTGCTGTTTTGTTGTTCTGTTTATTATTGTTGTCTTCTTGTTGCTGTTTTTAATCCAAAATGCAAAGTCAAGACTGCAACCATCAAACAACACTGTTTATCTTCTCTCAATGACCCTTTCTGCTGCATCCCTCAATCACCTTTATGAKCAACAGAATCTCACATSTGACGTGATTGATATATTGCAATCCAACAAGGAACTACTCTAGGGTCAATCTAAAGAATTCGATGTGGAAAGGACTTTACAGGTAAGATCACGCAGGGATTTTTAAGTCCTGTTTGAGGAAACTATCTCTATGGTGTTATATGGATTTGATTTAATTGAAAAAAAATTATTACAACTCCAGCTCAAGAGATGTGGTTGATGATAATATTGGTGATGTAAGGATTCCACTTCTCTTTATACAGAACGATGCAAACACTCAACTTAACAACAATGAATCAATAATACAGCAAACAAATACACTCAAAACAGCTTCTCAGATTGAATACACACCGGACATCACATGAATGAATTGATTCTTATCAAAATGTTCAACGTATTGAGCAATTTACAAAAAAATGAGTCAACAGAGAACAAAATCGAATCTGTGAAAAAAAATTAAGCGGATTAGAAGTCCGCTTAAACTTCTTCGATGTACAATAAGTCCTAAACCTCTCACATAGAAACTCTAAACCCTAATCCGGTCAAGTGGTGACCGGTGTAGATGAATATAGGATGAACACCGCTCAAAAAATTAAACCTTACCTGAAATTGATCGGTTTACCTCTCCGGTCAAGGAATCCGATCAAGTAGCGTGCGGTTTAACCTTTCTCCGCTCAATTACCGCTTGAATGGTGTGCGGTTTGTACTTGGTCGAATCTGTGAAGCTTGAATGGTGTGCAATGTAAAGTCCAAAATGATGAAGATGGAGATTATGAGCGGACTCTTATCCGATCAATTTTATTGGGCCAAAATTTTCTGATTGGGCCTTGAACATGATGTGCAATCTAACAAGAAATTCAACACAACTAAAAATAAAACCGGATTAAAACTATCAAAAACATAAAACAAAAAAAATTAACAAAAAAATATGGATCAAAAAACACCGATTTACAAAAAAAATCAAGAACACAAAAAATTTAAAAACCTAAAAACCCGATCAAATCTTGATTAAAATTGATCAATTCGTAAAAGTTTGTGAATAACAAAGATTCACAATGCGATTTCGAACATATTGATCATGTTTTTAACATCAAAACACAAGATTTTATTATAAAATCGGATCAAAATCAACAAAAATATCAAGAACACACAAGAACACACAAGAACTAAAAAAATCAAAAATTAAAATCACTTATCTTTCAAATTCTTCATCCGATTTCTTGCATTCCAGCTCTGATACCAATTGTGTGTCCACAATCACTGATCAATCTTCATA